CAGTGGAGACCCTAGGATGTTAGAGATAACAAGACTGTTGGACACCTGCTGAGGAAAGCTGTAGGCATGGAGTGGAGCTGATCTAAAATAGAGGGTTTGTGGGCTACTGGGAGCAGAGCTGGAGAGCTGGAGTCCTGTGGAGCTCAGATAGTTTCATTATGAGTCCTCGATGCTGGACATGGAGCAGCAGGATTTATTGTTTGCCCTGCTGGGTTTTGGCCTTGTTTCAGTCAGTTTTTCCTTTCTCTGCCCCTGTTCCTCCTCTTTGGAGTGACAATGTGTTATTATATGTTGGAATCATTATGTAACTAATTTTATAATTTACAGGGGCTGAGAATTAAGAGTTGGTTGAGGAAAGACTCAGCACTTAGATGTTTAAACAGCATTACAATTGTTAAAGATTGTGGGGACTTTTGACTACGTGCATTTTCATTATGAGATGACCATGAGCCTGTGAGGAAAAGGGGTAAAGGGTTATGGCTCAAAAGTGGTATGTTTAGATGTCAGGGTGACAAGAGGTAGACTCTGGATGGTTAATATTAATTTTCACCCCGACAGTCTAAAGTCACTGATTATACAGACCTCTGGGCATGTCTGTGCAGGATTATCTAGATTAGATTCATTGAAATGGGAAGACCCACTTTAATTGTGGGTGGTACCATTCCATTGACTGGAGTCCCTGACTAAATAAAACCAAGAAAGTGAGGTGAGCCCAAGCATTCATCACTCTCTGCTTCCTGACTGTGGACATGATATGAACCAGCTGCCTTCTGCTCCTGCCGCCATGCCTTCCCTGCCATGGTAGACTGTATTCCTTGGAACTGTAAGCCCAAAAGAAACCCTTTTTTCCTTAAGTTGCTTCTGTTGTGTATTTCTGTCACAGCAACAAAACAAGTAACTAATAGAGTGGCCAGGGTTGGGCTCAGTGCTCACTTCATATTCTATCTCTTTGTGGCGTAGATGTGTTATGTACATCACCCCTGTCATTTTAGAGAGGATCACATTGCCCCTTAGAGAATCTGAATACTTGATAAGTAGTGCACAATGTCATGCTGACAGTGACTTCAGGAGACTTTATTTTTTCCTTTTTAAATATTTTTATTGTTTTTGTGTATTTCACATAATAGATATTAATCAAATTTAGGCCCTCCTCTCCTATCTGCACACTCCTATAGTCCCCCCCCCCCCCCCCCCTC